CCTTGAGCTGAAGAGCTGAGGGACAGCACCCAGGCCCAGAGTTCAGGCCCCACGACTGGACCCAAAAAAAAAAAAAGAGAGCCAGAAAGCCATAAGATCCAGGGACAGTGGGTTGCTAGTCCCAGTCCTGCTGCTTGCTCTTCCAAGGGCATAGTAACTTGATAGTTAGTAAAGTATGTTATACCTTGAAGTATTTGCCAGGGCTGGCAAAGTGGCTCAGTGCTTGCCTCACATGCATGAGGCCCTGGGTTCAATTCCTCGGCATTAAATGCACAGAAAAGGCCAAAGTGGACGCTGTGGATCAGGAGCTGAGGGACAGCCCCACGAACAACCAAAGAGAAGAACTGCCAAACTCACATGGCTCCCTCCTTCACACAGGGTCACGGACTGTGTATGGGGTCAGTAAGCAGAGTGATGTGGTTCTCCTGCCCACCCACGGAAAAACCAGGGAGCCTGCAGAGCAAGTGGGAATCTTCCCAGCGGCCAACAGCAGTTCCAGCACCCAAAGAACGGAAGCCTCTGTACCTACAGCTAGCCTCCCACAAGGCACTCCAGCCAATTTACACCGATTTTAGTAGTGCTGGGTCAGGCTGGTCCCTGAACACTGAGCAAATGTCGAACCCCAAGTCCAGTGGCGAAGAGCACAGGAGCTCAGCTGTTACCCTCCCCTTGAACCTGAGACAATTCAGCTAAAAAATTCCATGTGATTAAAACTTTGGTTTCAGATGCATAAACCCCAGTGAAGAAACACAAGTAATATGAAAATAAACAGTGTTCTAAAAGTCAACCATCGGACGGACATGCCAGGCGCTGGTGGCTCATGCCTGTAGCCCTAGCTACTCAGGAGGCTGAGATCTGAGGATAGGGATTCAAAGCCAGCTCAGGCAGGAAGAACTATGAGACGCTTATCTCAATGAACCACCAGAAAACCAGAAGTGGTGTTGTGGCTAAAGTAGTAGAGCACTAGCCTTGAGCAAAAGAACTCAGTGCCCAGGCTGAGTTCAAGCCCTACAAGCAACAAAAAAAAAAAAGGAAAAAAATGGTGCATCAACACTGCAAAGCAGAAGAAATTTCAAAAAAATAATCTCAAAAGAACAAGAATAATGAACAAAATTAAAACTGACATGTGTTGGACACTGGATGATACATGCTCCTTAGAAGGCTGAGACCCAAGGATCATGATTTGAAAGAAGCAAACCTCTGCAAAAAACCAAAAAACAAAACAAAAAAGGGCTGGGAAGTTGGCTCAGTGCATGCATGAGACCCTGGGTTCGATTCCTCAGCACCACATAAACAGAAAAAGCCAGAAGTGGTGCTGTGGCTCAAGTGATAGAGTGCTAGCCTTGAGCTGAAGAGCTGAGGGACAGTGCCCAGGCCCAGAGTTCAAGCCCCACAACCAACAAAACAAACAAACCAACCTCGGGGCGGGGGGCTGAGAAGGTGGCTCAGTGGTTGAGCGCTTGTCTCCCATGCATGAGGCCCTGGGTTTGATTCCTCAGCACCACATACTCAGAAAAAGCCAGAAGTGGCGCTGTGACTCAAGTGGTAGAGCGCTAGCCTTGAGCTGAAGAGCTGAGGGACAGTGCCCAGGCCCAGAGTTCAAGTCCTATAAATTAATAGCTCAATAACCCAACTAAAAATCTCATTTGAAAGCCTTGTTTACAAAATGAATGAAGTTGAAAACAGAATGTCAGAGATCAAAAATAAAGTAAAAGGATTAGTTCAATGAGGCAAAGAGAAAGAGAAACACTAAAAAAATACATAAAAGAACCACATAAGATTTCAAGGATCAGACTTCAGAATCTTTGTACAAAAGAGAGAAAAAGAATAAGCTCAAGGCACAGAAAATAAAATAATAGCAGAAAACAACCCAATCTTGAGAAGGCAAGATCCATCTAGGTACAGGAGGCTTTCAGAATACCAGTCAAGATCAGAGATGAAAAAAATCCTAGATATATTATAGTTAAGGCACTAAATATACATAACAAAAAGAAATCTTAGCCGGGCACCGGTGCCTCTTGCTTGTAATCCTAGCTACTCAGGAGGCTGAGATCTGAGCATTGCAGTTCAAAGCCAGCCTGGGCAGGAAAGTCCGTGAGACTCTTTTTTTTTTGGGGTCCGGTCGTGAGGCCTGAACTCTGGGCCTGGGTGCTGTCCCTCAGCTCTTCAGCTCAAGGATAGCGCACTACCACTTGAGCCACAGCGCCCCTTCCGGCTTTTTATCTTATGTGGTGCTAGGGAATCGAACCCAGGGCCTCATGCATGCAAGGCAAGCGCTCTACCACTGAGCCACCTTCCCAGCCCATGAGCCACCTTCCCAGCCCCCGTGAGACTCTTATCTCCAATAAAGCACTAGAAAATCGGAAGTGGCGCTGTGTGGCTCAAGTGGTAGAGCACTCTCCTTGAGCTGAAGAGCACAAGGACAGTGCCCAAGCCCAGAGTTCAAGCCCCATGACCAACAACAACAAAAAAAAGAAATCTTAAAAGCTACCAGGGAAACAAGTCATTTACGAATGTAAACCCGTCTGAACACAATATATTTTTCAACAGAAACTCTAAAAGCAAGAGGAACATGGAATGATATATTCCAAACACTGAAAATAACTGTTAATGTAGATTAATAAAAATCTTCATGATAAATGAAACTAAAGAAATTCATGGGCTGGGAAGGTGGCTCAGTGGCAGAGTGCTTGCCTAGCATGCCTGAAGCCCTGCATTTGATTCCTCAGTACCACATACACAGAAAAGGCTGGAAGTGGCACTGTGGCTCAAGTGGTAGAGTGCTAGCCTTGAGCAAAACAAGCTCAGGGACAGTGCCCAGGCCCAGAGTTCAAGCCCCAGGACTGGCAAGAAAAAAAAAAAAAGAAATGCATGACCATTAAACCAGCACTGAAGAAGGCACTTAAAGGAATCCTGCATAGAGAAAAGTAAATGTGATGAGGAAATATTGCAGAGAATAACTCCCCCTAGACAAGTAGATTAGCAAATGAGAATGAAAAATGAAGCAATCATCACAAAAACATCGAAATGATAGGAAATACTACATACTTTTCCATATTAAAAATAAACGCTAGGGTCTCCAATCAAAAGACACCAAATGGCAGAATGTATTAAAAAGAATGCTCTTACCATTTGTTATATACAAGAAACAGATCTCACTAACAAACACCACAAAGTGAAAAGACAGAAAATGATTTTCAACAAAATAAGACTGAAAGCAGGCAAGAGTAGCCACACTCATCTGATAAAGTAGATTTCAAACAGAAACTACTCAGAAGAGACAAAATCAATTTATATACATTAAGAGGATAATTCAGAGAGAGGAAGTAGCAACTGCCAACATATAAACACCAAATGTTGGCACATCCAATTTAATTAAACAAATACCACTGGACTTATAAAGCATAGCTAGATACCAACACATTAATAATAAGAGATTTCAATATCTTATTATCACTAACAGACAAGTCATCCAGACAAAAAATTAACAAAGGAGCCTCAAAATTAATCAACAGTATAGATCATTTCATCCAGCAGCTATACAATCTATTCTTAGAAGTTCATGGAACTTTCTCCAACATAGACCATATTTGAGAACGTAAAGCAAGAGTTGAAATACACGAAAACTATCGGAGCGCTGGTGGCTCACGCCTATAATCCTACCTACTCAGTAAGCTGAGATCTGAGGATCATGGTTCAAAACCAGCCTGGGCAGCAAAGTCCGTGAGACTCTTATCTCCAATTAACCACCAGAAAACCAGAAGTGGTGCTGTGGCTCAAGTGGTAGGGTGCTCACTTTGAGCTGAAGAGCTGAGGGACAGCGCCCAGGCCCAGAGTTCAAGCCTCACAACCAACAACAACAACAAAAATTAAATTAATAAAATTTAAAAATACATGAAAACTGCAATAAAGCACTGTAATTTTATAAAGACTACAATGGAAACTAGAAATCAACAACTATAAACAAACTATACAAAATGTGTTTGAACAAATGGAAATGAAATTGCATTGCTGAACAACTAGTAGATCATTTTAGAAATAACAGAATAATTCCTAGAATCTATGAAAATGAAAAATAATTTATCAGAATCTCTGGGTTAGCCGGCGCTGGTGGCTCACGCCTGTAATCCTAGCTACTCAGGAGGCTGAGATCTGAGGATCACGGTCAAAACCAACCCCGGCAGGAGAGACTGTGAGACGCCTATCTCCAATAAACCACCAGAAAACCGGAAGTGGCGCTGTAGCTCAAGTGGTAGAGCGCTCGCCTTGAGCTGAAGAGCTGAGGGACAGCGCCCAGGCCCAGAGTTCAAGCCCCACGACCGAAAAAAAAAAAAAAAAAAAAAGAATCTCTGGGTTACAGCAAAGGCAGTTCTGGAGGCAAGTTTATAACTGTAAGCACTGACATTAAAAAACAGATCTTAAATAATAGCTTGATGATTCTCTTTTCTTTCTTTCTTCCCTCTCTTTCCCTCTCTGCCAAGAAAGACCAAGCTGAGTAAGAACATGAGGTCTTGAGTTCAAGCCAGAGTAGCAGGGCCAAAAACGAACAAAAATCAATTAGGGCTGGGCGCCGGTGGCTCACGCCTGTCATCATAGCTACTCAGGAGGCTGAGATTTGAGGATCACAGTTCAAAGCCAGCTCTTGTCTCCCAATGAACCACCAGAAAACCAGAAGTGGTGCTGTGGCTCAAGTGAGAGAGCACTAGCCTTGAGCCGAAGAGCTCAGGGACAGCGCCCAGGCCCAGAGTTCCCAGAGTTCAAGTCCCATGACTGACCGGGGAAAGAAAAGCCTTACTTTGGAGCTGGGCGCTGTTGGCTCCCACCTGTAATCCTAACTACTCAGGAGGCTAAGATCTGAGGATTGCAGTTCAAAGCCAGCCCAGGCAGGAAAACCCATGAGACTCGTATCTCGAATGAACCAGTAGAAAATTGGAAGTGTAGCTGTGGATCAAAGTGGTAGAGTACTAGCCTTAGGCAGAAAAGCTCAGGGACAACACCCAGGCCCTGAGTTCAAGCCCCATGACCACCACCAACAACAAAAAAGCCTTACCTTGGCCAGAACTGTGTCTTTTCTGTCTTGAACAAACACTATGGGGGGCACATTCCTCAGTATCTGCTGGGACATCACCAGGTGTCTGAGGAGAGAATGCATGTTTTGCAGATTTAGAAGAGAGGAAGGGTGCTTAATGTGAACTACATGAAAGTCACTACTGAAAGTCGGACTCCATCATCCTGTCACTCAAAGGTGAGAGTAGGTAGTGTCACACCTGCATTCTCAGCCATGAGGGAGACAGAGCAGGAGGATCACTTGAGCCCACAGGTTCAAGAAGCAAGGGAAGAGGAGAAGTGAGGAAGAAAAGGAAGGCTACAGAGAGGAAAACATTAGACCAAAAGCCGTTATCACACCACCGTATCACAAAGGCCTCACTACTGTTCTTAACCATTCGATTTGTGTACTGACCTATTTCTTTGTCACTTATTTACTCACTTACTTGCAATATTTGAGATTGAACCCATGTGCGAGGCAAGCATCTGGGGTGTTGGGTTTTTTTTTTTGTAGCAGTCCTGGGGCTTGAACTCAGAACCTGGGTGCTGTCCCTGAGATTTTTTTGTTCAAGACTATCATTCTACTACTTGAGCCACAGCTCTACGTCCAGCTTTTTTTGTGGTTAATTGGAGATAAGCGTCTCATAGACTTTCTTGCCCAGGTTTTCAGATCTCAGCTTCATGAATAACTAGGGTTACAGGTATGAGCCACTTGTGCCCAGCTCTGTGTGTGTGTGTGTGTGTGTGTGAAGTATTTATATATATTTGGAGGGGGGGGTTGGGTTGGTCTTGAACTCAGAGCCTGGGCACTGTCCCTGAGATTTTTCTGCCCAAGGCTAGTGCTCTACCACTTGAGCTACAGCTCCACTTCCAGCTTTTTCTGTGTATGTGGCACTGAGGAATCAAACCCAAGGCTTCATGTCAGATTTCAGCCTCTTTTTTTTTTTTGGTTGGTTGTGGGGCTTGAATTCTGGTCCTAGGCGCTGTCCCTCAGCTCTTCAGCTCAAGGTGAGCGTTCTACCACTTGAGCCACAGCCCATTTCTAGTTTTCTAGTAGTTTATTGGAGATAAGAGTCTCATGTGGCTCACGCCTGTAATCCTAGCTACTCAGGAGGCTGAGATCTGAGGATCATGGTTCAAATCCAGCCCAGGCAGGAAAGTCCATGAGACTCTTATCTCCAATAAACTACTAGAAAACTGGAAGTGGTGCTGTGGCTCAAGCGGTAGAGCACTCGCCTTGAGCAGAAGAGCTGAGGGACAGCGCCCATGGCCAGAGTTCAAGCCTCACAACTGACACACACACACAAAAAGTCTCATGGACTTTTCTGCCCAGGCTGGCTTTGAACTGTGATCTCTAGATCTCAGCCTCCTGAGTAGCTAGGATGACAGGCGTTGAGCCGTCAGCACCTGGCTTCAATTTCATCTTTTACTGTTAAACAAAACCAAGATAGTAAAGTCTTTTCTTCAAGTATTGAAACAGCTGTGTTGTTGTCTGGTTTTCAGGCATTTCAAAAGCTTGGCTGAATGTTCCCTTTTCAAGCACAGTGTGTAGGTTTCAGGAAATGTGTACCATGTGTAGCTCAACCTCACAGGTGTGTGTCACAGCGCTGAGCTGTACAAAGACATTCTCTCCAGCTGTGGCAGTGTGATGGCAGAGTTCCAGAGTGTCCAGGGAGCGCCAGACATGCGCTTAGCATCTGAAGTCACGGGCGGTGGCCCACATTCTGACCACGTCGTTCAAAGAAGTAAGAACAAGCCAGGTGAGGTGCCATGCCCGTAATCTGTCTACTTCGGATGTGGGAGTGGGAAGATCTGAGCTTAAGGTCAGCCCAGGCAGAGTTCTTGAAACCCTATTCCAGTAATAAAATGAAAATACAAAAAGGCACGTGTGTGTGTGTGTGCAGCATGATTATAACTGTGGGACTATCTAGGGGAGGATGAGGGAAAGGGGAGAGAGAAAGAATAAGGGAGGATGAATAATGCTGGAGTGCATTGTGTCCGTAATGCAGATGGAGCAGGAAGGTAGGGAATAATGGGGGGAAGTTCATCTAAATTATGTGCCTGTGTGAGATACCATTTTGAAACTCCTATGTACAATTAATATACAATAAAAAATGAAAACAAATGACCGGAAAGCAAAACAGGTTCTGTTGAGAGTTGGGTACCCGCAGAGGGGAGAGGCCCAACAGATTATGAATATGGTTGATGTTCTTTCAAAGAACACTGGAGATCAATCATCAAAATGAAAAACTAAGGGACAAGGCCCAGGCCCTGAGTTCAAGCCCCAATACTAGCACAATAAGTAAGTAAACAAATAAATCTGTAAGCTGATTATCACTCTGAAGATCCATTTTATTGGAGACAACAGTGAAGCCAGCTGGTTTCCCCAAAGCACCGGGGTCACTCAGCAAGCTTTAGAGCACTGCCCACAAACACCCACACCACAGCAGCCAGGGCTCGCTCGGCTCCTCCGTGGTGCCCTGACAGCTGCGCTGTGACGGGGTCACGGTGCTTTCCCCACAGGATGCTAAACAGGCGTGGCCTTGTGGGTCAAGACTACACTCGGTCTTGTTTGTTCATATGAAATACTTTACGGCATGAATGCTTTAACACTTTACAGTGGCACTGTGTCTCACAGTGAGGCCCAGCAGCAGTGCAAAAAGGCACCAGTCCTGGCAGATGGAGAAAGGCAAAGGGCCAGGCTCTGGCGGCTGCTCAGGAGGTCTGAGGATCACAGTTCATTTGGTTTTTTTAGTTTTTTTGTTTTTTGGGGGGGTCTGGTCATGGGCTCTTGAACTCTGGGCCTGGGCGCTGTCCCTCAGCTCTTCAGCTCAAGGCCAACGCTCTACCACTTGAGCCACAGTGCTACTTCCGGCTTTTTTCTTTTTGCTTATGTGGTGCTGAGGAATTGAACCCAGGGCCTCTGGCATGTAAGGCAAGCACTCTACCACTGAGCCACCTTCCCAGACCCTGAGGATCACAGTTCAAAGCCAGCCCAGGCAGAAAAGTCTCTGTGAGACTTGTATCTCCAATAAACCACTCAAAGACTGGAAGTGGAGCTGTGGCTAGCCTTGAGCAAAAGAGCTCAGGGATAGTGCCCAGGCCCTAAGTTCAAGCCCTACGACCAAAACAAGAAAAAAAAGAAAGAAAGAGAGAGAGAGAGGGAGGGAGATAGAGAGGGAGAGAGAAAGACAGAGAGAGAAAGAGAGAGAGAGAAAGAGAGAAAGAAAAAGAAAGAAAGGAAGGAAGGAAGGAAGGAAGGAAGGAAGGAAGGAAGGAAGGAAGGAAGGAAGGAAGGAAGGAAGGAAGGAAGGAAGGAAGGAAGGAAGGAAGGAAGGAAGGAAGGCAGGCAGGCAGACAGACAAAAGAAAGACCAAAGGATCTTGAGTATTTGTGAAAAACATCCTTAACCTCAAAAAAGTCCTGAAAGGAGCTCTGGATCCCTATAAAACTTTTAAAAAGCTGACTAGACTATGTTTAATAGGAAAAGGCAAATTATATTCTGAAATTGAAGAAAATACTTCCAAATTTTTTCCTTAAAAGTACAATTATAGTGGGTGCCTGTAATCCTACCTACTCGGGAGATCTGAGGATCACGGTTTGAGGCCAGCCCAGGCAGTAAAGTCTGTGAGACTCTTTTTTTTTTTTGGTCAGTCGCGGGGCTTGAACTCTGGGCCTGCGCGCTGTCCCTCAGCTCTTCAGCTCAAGGCGAGTGCTCTACCACTTGAGCTACAGTGCCACTTCCGGTTTTCTGGTGTTTATTGGAGTTAGGAGTCTCAGGGTCTCTCCTGCCCGGGCTGGCTTTGAACCGCAATCCTCAGATCTCAGCCTCCTGAGTAGCTAGGATTACAGGCGTGAGCCACCAGCACCTGGCTTCTGTAAGACTCTTTATCTCCAATTTGGTTCAAATGGTAGATGGCAAGCCTTGAGTGAAAAATCTCAGGGCCAGTGCCCAGGCCCTGCGTACAAGCCCCAGGACCAGCATGCACAGGAGAAAAGTACAAATCCTTAATAAGAAACTTTAAAGGAACACCTAGGAGAGAGAGAGCGGAGCAGTCGGGGTGCAGGCAGAAAGCGACCCCTGTGGGAAGCCAGAGACAGCGGAGCAGTCGGGGTGCAGGCAGAAAGCGGCCCCTGTGGGAAGCCAGAGACAGCGGAGCAGTCGGGGGTGCAGGCAAAAAGCGGCCCCTGTGGGAAGCCAGAGACAGCGGAGCAGTCGGGGTGCAGGCAGAAAGCGACCCCTGTGGGAAGCCAGTATGATCACCTCATGTGTGCCGCGCTCCTCTGCAGGACGGCTTCTGTGTGCTTGTTCTGGTCTGCGGAGAGACCCGTCTTCCAGTACACACGGCAGGCTGAGAAGTCCGAAGCCAGCGAGACCTGAGACCCAGCCAGACACAGGTCACTTCCTGTTTGCAGTGGTTCTCACACAGACAACAGTCTGGAGGTGAAAAGCCGCGGTTCCTCTGTGCCTGAACGCCTCCCCCGAGAGCTGGCAGCGGCCACCACCCACTGGCGTGAGACGTCATGGCTGAGCGTAAAATGCACTGGCTGCTTCTCTCCAGGTCCCACCACCACCCACTGGCGTGAGACGTCATGGCTGAGCGTAAAATGCACTGGCTGCTTCTCTCCAGGTCCCACCAACCACCTGCTCAGTCACCTGACTGCAGGGGACTGGCTTCACGGAGTTTTGCCAAGATGCTCACTGGAAACAACCCAGCTGCTGTCTGTTGTCTGCTCAACTCTCTCTTTAGAGGTGGAAGGACTCTCCTTTGTCTCAGTGCTGGGTTAAACGTAGCTTGCCTACACCTCAGCACACCCTTAGACTTCTTCCAACAATCCAGTCCATACTTGACACGGGCCAGCTGTCCAACATGCCAGGGCCCGTGTGGTTACAGTCCCCTGCCCAGTGGAAGGAAAGTGATGCTTCTGCGCCACAGCACAGGGTCCTCCAGAACTTAAGATGGCCAGATTGGATATCACCCTGTAGCCCAGATAAAAACCATGATGGTGAGAAGGGAAGGCAAGACTGGAAGGTCTGGCCTGCCACCTACCTTGGAGAGCTCCACGTTCAGGTCACAGACTTCCTGGCTTACTTCAGGGGTGCACAGCAGATCTGTCAGTGCTTTGAGAAGGAGGCCATTCAAGGTCCTCAGGCGCACATGGTCTTCCTTGGTGGTGGTCTTTGAGGTCTTCTTGTTGAGGAAGTCCAGCTTGGATGGCTTGTGGGCCTACATTAATAAGAATACACCAAGGACAGAATTACCACAGAGACCAACTCCACAGACCTACACACAGGGGCTAGGGCAGGGCTAAGCCGACAACTAGATAGACACTTCTTGCTAATCACTAAACCAGATCCTTCCTGATTTTACCTGGTAAAATACTTCAATACTTCCATACTAAAAGTGCTGCTAGAGGCTGGGTGGTAGAGTGGTAGAGTGCTCAGTGGTAGAGCGCTTGCCTCGCATGCCTGAGGCCCTGGGTTCAATTCCTCAGCACCACATACACAGAAAAAAAAAAGCTGGAAGTGGTGCTGTGGCTCAAGTGGTAGAGCGCTAGCCTTGAGCTGAAGAGCTGAGGGACAGCGCCCAGGCCCAGAGTTCAGGCCCCACAAC